CGGGATCAATGGGAACTTGACCCCCGCAAGCTCGACATCAAGTCTTAGTGAATTAGACAATGCAAATACGGACAGTGACAACAACGAGGTGCGGCAGCGTCGCAGGCCAACGAGTCGTAGTGGAACAGCAGGCGCCTCAAATGTGATGGACGATGAAAGTGATCAAGAAATACTCGAACTTTCAAAACTCCGGTGCAGTGGTGAGAGGACAGAAGTGGTGGCCGAAAGGCACAACAGCGCGAAATCGATGTGCAGATTATCCAGGCCTCGCGTTTGGCTCTTCAATCTTTAGTTCGAACACCATGATGAAACTGAATGTTATTAAGAATGAGCTCCACAACATCATGACAGTTCAACTGAGGAGGGTAGGTACTTTTTCATCCAGGTCATGGGACCTGTCGTCCGTGTTCGTGTGAGGCCGACAGCAGGGATGTAGTTCCACAAAATTGGGAGGGCAGCTGGGTGGGGGAAAATGCTTAGACCTCCCAATCTCCATTATAGCAGCTGGTTTCTCCCTGCATCTGGCCCACTTTCTTCTCAAAGTGGCTAGAGCCCATTATTGTTAAGGGAACTGCATTCGTGGTCGACATTGTCCCAGGTACATGTTCACTGCCCACGTACCTGTACTCTCAATCGTCGGTTGTGACCCGTGTGGGCGTCGCGCTCATTGTCAAGGTCGTTGTCCATGTGCCACAGCTGAACCTTGGATCTGTCCTGCTGGGGCATTTAAAACAAACAGTACTCTGCCACTTTTCAGATGGCTTATGTGCACGACGTAGTCATACAGATAACCTTTCGTTTCACTTCAATATGTGTGCGGTGCCCGGAATTTCGGAATGTTGTCCCTTGGTTCACAAATCTCAGAGCGCAGTTGCTCTCAACCTGTCAGCCCATCCCTTCGTTACATCAAGCTGTTCGGGAGCTCGACTTGTAGCTTGAGAATGTCACGTAGCATGACTCGAAGTGAAAAATGTGCGTGATGGTCGCAAATTGCAGGAGTTCCGGCAGAGCTTTGTTGGGCGATTTTTCCCTTCTGTTGAAAACCACTGGTTGGCGCATGCATTCCTATTCCTGCTAAGATGGAACTCATCGTTTATGGTAGTGTTTTGCGCCTTATGGAGATCTGACCAAATTCAGCGACGTCATGTGGCTCACTTTTACCCCCTGAATGGTCAGATCTATCATGGAGTTTCGGGACCATATATGGAACTATACTTTGCCGCGGAGGCTTTTCGGCCGTCCAGTCACCGGTCGCCAGGCGTGCTGGGCGGAGGGCGGTGTCCAACTGGCGGTGGTGTGGTGTCGGAGATTGGGTGCGGCCTGTTTGGTGATAGCGTGTTTTGCCGAGGGAAAGGACGAAACGCGTTGCAAAAATGTCTGGTGGTCAAGGTGCTACTTGCTGGAGGTTCTGAAGAAGAAAATGACCCAAACTAGGGATGAATTGGAGGCCAAACGTGACGAGTGCGACGAGCTCAACAAGCAGCTTGTTGATGAAACCCGGCGAAAGGAAGAAGTGGGTGATGTGTGACTGTTCTGGATGGACTTGCATTAGTCTGACCCATTTTTTAATGACTTGGTTCGTATGCTTGAGCTTGTGTATTCCATTGAAGTTTTTCAGTGAGTCAGAATCATATTTTTATGGCGAGGTATCACCAGCGCCATTGATTTTCTCCCGCGTACCTTGCAATGCTCGGCGTCTGCCGTAGTGCTTTTTATGTTCACGTTCGCAGTTTTGGAAGAAAATTATTCTTGACTGTTTTACTGCATTCATGGCCATGATTGTAGGAGTTAAGGCTATGTACGAGCAGTGTCTCAAAAGCATCCATGACGCGCTAAAACATCCATTGAAGAAGCCCGCAGTGCTGGGTTAAGTATTTCGTTTAGCGCAAAAGATTGAAGCAAGATTCGTGCTGCTAATTGGGCATCTCAGTGATTTTGGACAGTGGGTGATTGAAAGTGCGGAAATCCTGAAGTTCTCATCCCATTCATGGTCACTCGCGGAGCTTTTGAGCATATTTCGGATTTATCCTGTTTTTGTTCAACGGAACGCCACATCGGCAATTAAAATTTGATCACGAGTGGTGGCAGATGTCTCTCCCTTGCTCTCCTCAGTTCTCCGCTCAATGAGTCAGCTGACCGCTCGATGCGGCTTAAATCCCGACCCTTCAAATATGCATCTGCTACGTCATCGGCATCGCATCCTACCGCCATCCACCATCCACATCGCCAGTGGTTGCAATCTGCCGGAGTCATATCGTCAGATTAGGGCACCTTGTAAACTGATACAGGCCTGTGTGCAACCCTTGGCGCGCCCGGTGGCCGCTGGTACACCATGCCAGCGGGTGCGGCGGCCGCCGTCCATGGCCATATAAGGGCGGATCGGAGTCCCATTGTGGTATGCCGTTGTGAACGCGGGGGCTGGAGGGATTGTGTGAACTTGCGGTGCAGTCTTCATCGCGCGCGAAATCGGTGAGTCAGGGGTCAGCCTGAGCCGCCGCCCGGTCAGGCTACAGTCCCCGGCGGTCGGGGGGAGGGGCGTGCCGGTCTGGCGGGGTGACCTGTTTGCGGGCGGGCGCCGCCGTACCCGGCCGGCGTTAGGCCTGAGCCGAAGCATCGCTGCGGCCGCGGGCGTCAGGCCTGAGCCGAGCGTAGCCCCCGCGCCGCCGCCCAGACTTCCGAGCCGTCTCCCGAGCCTCCGAGCCGGCCCGCCCGACCCGCCGCACCGCCACTCGGCGAAAGCCGACCCCATGCGTTCTGCTGACGGTCGCGGAGGGAGGGACGAAGTGTGCGGGCCGCCTCCGACAGTGGTTTTCTCCCGCTGCCTTATTTGTGGCTACCGGGTGAGCGGCCCTTCAGCTGCTCTCTGACAAGCCGCCGGCCGTGCCGGGTAGGGCACGGCTAGTTTCACATTTGAAGTCCTCGTCCGTCGGTTCGTGCTGTGGAAAAGTCAACTGAGGCACGGACGCACAAGTCGGGAACTCATCCGGACCCTTGTGCGGCGGTGCGCCGCCTTCGGTCACCACCCGTCACGGCAGAGATCGGGATCTGCCGTGTTTTCGGAAACAGTCGTGCCGCCGTGCGGACAGACCACCAGAAAAAAACCGACGCGTCCGCCGGACCGTTAACGGTCTGCCGAATTACATTACTGTCCTGGGATGGTGCGTGACAGAGGTGCCGCGCGCGTCACGTGACGTCACGCGGCCGGTGCCCCACGTCCCCGGCACAACAGGGCGGCGCGTGGCGGCAGGCCCCCGCCCGGCAGCGTGCGCATTGTGTCGCGCGGCACCGACATGTGCCGTCCATCCGCCCCAGGCATGTGCCGCCGTGATGTGCGTGGTGTGATTGTCGATGGTCGTGCTGCTGGTATGCCGTGCGGCGCTCGTTGGGCTGATCCCTGTGGTGTGCGGCTGCGTTGTCCGCCGTGTGGCGCTGTGCGTTACAGCATGCTGTGCGAGGTGCGGTCTGGAGGTGCGGCCGCCGCCCATGTTCGGGGTGCGGTCCTGCGCTTGGTCGCGCGTAGGTGGTGAGATGTTTGACTCGTCGGGTGCCGTCCGCTACGTTGCGGTATACATTTGGTTTGTCCGTGTGCTCTTGTTGGCAACGTCCCTGACGCTCTGTGTATTGGGACCAGTGCCGGCCCCTGGCACCTGGACGGTGCGAAAGCGCTCGTGACGGGTGCTGTCTGACGGCGGGCCCGCGTGGCCGGCTGTGCCGCAGGCTGAGGGCGAGGTCTCGGCTCTGGGACGCCGCATCCAGCTGCTGGAGGAGGACTGGAGCGCTCCGAGGAGCGGCTGGCCACCGCCACCACCAAGCTGGCTGAGGCGTCCCACTCCGCCGACGAGTCCGAGCGTACGTGCGACCCTCCAGCACAGCACAAGCCAGCAACAGACAGCACAAGCACAGCCGCAAGCGCAGCGCAGCACAGCACAGCACAGCACAGCAACAGCACAGCACAGCACAGTACAGCACAGCACAGCACAGTACAGTACAGTACAGTACAGTACTGCACACAACAGAACAGTACAGCACACAGTACAGCACCAGCTCAGCTTAGTGCAGCGTGGCCGAGCGTCGGCCGCTGACGTTGATATAACAGTGCAACAACGTTCGGAGATAATAGTTGGGTCAAACTATGGGAGGCCCACGACGGGGTCGGACGGTGTTGCGAGTCGACCTCCGGTCGGACGGCCCTGTCCACCGACAGCCCGGGACACTGTATACACAAGCGCCGCCTTTGTGATGTGTGTGCATGCCTTGCGAGTGTGTCAGCGTCCGCTCTCTGAGCGGGCCCGAGCGGGGCGGCCGGCCAGTGCCGCAGGTATGTCGCCTCTGCACTCTGGCCGAGCCGCGCGCCAGCGGTGTGCTCTGGACCGAGCCGTCATAACCAGAACCTGCGTCGCACCCTAGGTGATAACAATTAGATTGTCCTCAGTCGAGCATTATTCCAGGCTGCGTTATGTGGCATGCTTTGTTTTTGTGCGTGTTTTCTGTGTTGTTTTTGCGTACTCCGCAAATTTTGCGATTTGTAACGCTATGAATATTAATAGCCCACTTCCATGTGAATCCAGGGAGCCTCTCCCGGACCTCCAATTGACCATGTTGCTGGCGGTGCATGTATGCGTGGTCGCCCGTTTCCCCTTTAGTTTTCACCCGAGGGTCAGCTGCCGCCGCGTGCCGTGAACTAACCGGCGTGAACACGTGCCCGCACGCAGCGAGCGCAAGGCGCTGGAGAACCGAACCAACACGGAGGAGGACCGCGTCTCCATCCTGGAGGCGCAGCTGGCGCAGGCCAAGCTGATCGCCGAGGAGGCGGACAAGAAATACGAGGAGGTAGGGCGGCCGCTGTGCTGGGGAGGAGCGGGGCGCGCGCGCGACTGTGCGGCCTCGCCGGGGGTCCGGCTGCCGCTGGCTGGTGACCGCCGCCGATGGCGCCGGCCGGGTCCCGGCGGGGTGAGCTGGCCGCCGCCGCCGGCTGCTGGGGAGGGACGCGGGTCGGGACATGCTGTCTGACGCGCCGCCGTCCGTGACAGCATGCGCAAGGTGCTGGAGAACCGCAGCCTCTCGGATGAGGAGCGCATGGACGCTCTGGAGAACCAGCTGAAGGAGGCCCGCTTCCTGGCTGAGGAGGCCGACCGGAAGTACGACGAGGTTGACCGCGCGTGACCCGCCCTCCGTGTGGCTAACGGCCGGTGGTGTGACGCGCGGGTCCACACTAACCGCAACGCCCGCCCCCAGGAGTGTGGACTCTCGACAGGCGGGAGCGACAGGCGGCTGCTGTAGGGGGTCCGTCCGGTCCTGACGGCAGTGTAGCTGGTCCCCCGCGACTTGTCACAGGAATGCTGGTCGCTCCCGAGAACTGCGGCTGCATGGTCAGCGATGGTGGCATGCGAGAAGTGTGTGGTTTGATGTCGAATGCACATGATACAGTCACGCAGGCACACACTAGGTTTGTTGTGCGTCGGTCCTCTTAAGTTGCCTTCTACACACACTTGGAACGATCATCACGCTCAAACCATCTTGGTAAATCCGTTAACATGCTCTTTCGTCGTAGAGTCTGTGCCACTACTATGGGAAGCTTAAGACGTTCTCTGTGTAAACAGGGACACTTATTTGATTTTATCAATTCCACATGAGGTATAAAAAGAATGTCAAAAAGATTACGAAATACGGCGTCGCCGCTCTTTGACTGGAGCCGGCTCTGAGGCCAGTCTGGGTGCGTCGCTGCGCCAGCCAGTGCTCTGATCGCCGTCAGCACACCACTGACCGGGCCGGGCCCGCTGCTGTCGCCAGGTGGCCCGTAAGCTGGCCATGGTGGAGGCCGACCTGGAGCGTGCCGAGGAGCGCGCCGAGACGGGCGAATCGTGAGTGGCGTGCCGTGTGTTGTGTGTCAGCCCGCCCCGCCCCAAGCACGACCCTCCACAGGCGCTCCCGCATGGCCGTGCCGCCGTCGCCCGGCGTTTGGGCATGCGCAGCCGTGGTGTGCGTGTGTGCTGCCGCCGGCGTGTGGCGTGGTTTTCGACTGGGTCCGGTGGCCCACCGGCCGGCATGCGCCTGATGGGCCCGTGTGTGCCTGGCTCGTTGACAGGTGGCGCGCAAGGTGGTCATGCTGGAGAATGACCTGGAGCGGGCCGAGGAGCGGGCCGAGACAGGCGAGAGGTGAGCAACGCCCCTGGGTCCGTCCTCCCCTCCCCCTGCCTCCTACGCGCACACACATCAGCCCAGCAGTGAACATGAAGTCACAGACGGGACGTGAGTAGTTAACTTGGCACCGCTCTGTTGTGCTCCGGGGAGCCAAGCCCAGCAGCGGCCACAGCGGTAGGCGAGACGGGAGCGACATCTGGGATGCACTGGTCTCACCCCCCCCCCCCCGAGCCCCTACCTGCCCCTACGCGCGTCAGCCCACCAGCGGCTCGAGATATCCGTACTTCAATGTGACACAGCTATTCGTCCCGGGTTGCCTCCATCACATGCCCAACATCAACGGTCAGGGATGTCGACGCCCTCGCGAACCCAGACCGGAGACCCCTGGCTGAGCCGCCGGTCCGTCCCACCGCCGGGCGTGGCGGGACCGACAGGGTGCCAGTGCCCTTCGTTCACTACACCCACTGTCTGGTTGAGTGGAGGGAGGCGAGGCGTGAGTATTCCTTCACTCGTGCTGGCACCACACTTTGCTGTGGTTCGGCCTTTGGTGTGCTGTGAATGTGCCTTGGTCTGATGCTCTCTGCGCTGTTCTCGGTCTGCACTGGAGCCCCGTCTCTCCCGCTGCATACGTTTGGCTTGAACAGCAGCTACATGACGCGGCTGTCATTTCCGTCTCTCAAGCGGTGCTGCGTTGATTGAGATGCATGGCGCCTCGCTGGCTGTTTTACATAGGCGGAGAAGAGTGTTGGTTGTTGCCCGGTGAGGCATTAATCCGTCGCCAGAGCAGCGCGGGCTTCGAGGCATGGCTCGACGGTGCGGTGTGGCGTGGCGCGTGGGCCGACTGTTGCCACGCACTGACGCCGTGCCTCTGGTCCGTCCCGCAGCAAGATCGTGGAGCTGGAGGAGGAGCTGCGCGTGGTGGGCAACAACCTGAAGTCGCTCGAGGTCTCCGAGGAGAAGGTAATGCTGTCGTCGCGCGTGGACCGCCGCCGTCGAAGGGCACCTTTGTGTCGGTCATCGACTCGTTGAGTCGCAGGGATGCCCTCCCGGTAGACACCTTTCTGGCTTTCGATGATTCGTGTTTGGTGGGTGTAAAGCTGTGAAACTCAAGACATTGTGTTCATGGGTTTTCTACACCGGGTTTGGACCGAGCATACTTGTATTACTTTCCTTCTCGTGATTGGCCCCGGACCTTCTGTTTAGTCATACGTTTATGCAGCTGATTGCGTGCACCATAGCTGCATCAGTGGGACGCTGATGCGGTGAGGTCAGTTGCTCCTTGACCCAGCATTGGTCGCAGTCTGTTGCGATTGGCAGACAGTGGGCGGACAAAGGCCTCGCTGATTGACCCCGTTCCGTGACCTAGTGAACCTCGTCTGTACGGTATGTGTGATTGTTTCGGTCATTGTTCGACGGCGATGGCGCGGGTATTGGTATGCTGCAGCAGCGAATACCCGCTCGTCACCCTTACCCCTCTCACCGCGCGTCCGGCAGCCTGACCCGTGGTGGACATACAGCCTGTTTTTAGGGCGGAGGGGTGCGGGTCTTTCCCCTATCTCATTGGGGCGTGGCTGGAGTCAAGCTGGGCTGTAATGTGGGCGGTAGCCGCTCCCTGGTGGAGAGTCGCCACCATCGGCGGGCGGCGAGACAGCCGGGGTGCGGACGCTGACCTGCGAGCAGCGGGGTCGGCCGAGCGCCAGCCGCTTTCTCCCGACCCTGGGACGCCGCGCCGGGAGGCTTTCTCTCCGGCCTGGGACGGGCGCGGAGACACTGGGTCAGGGCCACCCTGGCGCCGCTCGCGCCTCGTCCCGGCCGCTCCCCAGCGGACCCGGCGCCACTAAACGCCGCCGGCTTGTCCTGTAGGCCAACCAGCGTGAGGAGGCGTATAAGGAACAGATCAAACAGCTCACGAACAGAATGAAGCAGGTAACCGGGCCCACCGAGCATGTGCCGGCCGTCCGGCGTCCACGAGCATGGGGTGCCCCTGGCTGGCGTGACGTGTCGACAGGCGACGGCCGTGGACGACGCTCGCCGGCACTCTTCTCTCTAGCTGTCGACCCCTCCCGAGCCCGGCCCGCGCCCACCCCGCCCCGCCCCGACCGCGCGGCCTCCGCGGCCCCCACTAACCAGGACGGGCACGGTGCCTTGCCCCGCCCTGCCCTGGCCTGGCCTGGCCTAGTCTGCCCTGCCCTGCCCTGCCCTGCCCTGCCCTGGCCTGGCCTGGCCCTCTCCGGCTCGACCCTTCGCTGTGCGTGCCGTGACGTGACCTCCGTTCTCTCTGCGCTGCCCGCCGGCTCTAGGCCAAAGAGCGCGAGGAAGAGTACGAACGCCAGCTGACAATGTTCACTCAGCGCCTGAAGCAGGTACTGCCCCCTCTCGCCGCCGTGTGCTAACGGTGTGCCGTGGTCTGACTAACTGTCGACGGCATGGGGGGAGGGCGTGCCGTGCGCTCGTGCCACTCACGCCGTCGTGTTCCTCTAGGCCTCGCAGCGTGAGGACATGTTCCAGAAGCTTCAGCACGACAGCGAGATTCGGTGGAAGGAGGTGAGCCTCCGCCGCCGCCGCCTCCGCCGCCTCCGCCGCCGGCGCCGTGCCAGCGCCGCTCGGGGCGTGGATAGCCGCGCCGCCTGCTCCGAACGGGGGCCGCATGCCAACGTTCCTAAAGCGGCGGATGCTTTCTCTGGCGAGCCGCCGGCTGTATTCTGGCCAGATCGGGGGCAAAATCGGTATGCGCCGTGTTCGTTTACAGCACGGGTCGTTAATGCCTCAGTAAAACTGGCTAAAAGCAGTGGCCCCAATCGGCCCTCATGCAGCAAACTGCTGTCGGCGCATATCTCCTTCCTCGTTGTGTCGGGGTGGGCTCAGATTTTTTCCCCTTGCGCTCCTGCCTTCTGCTTCTTTCCTGGCGTCTGGTGTGGCCCGGAGTTACTTGCGCGATTTCATGGCTTCTGAAAAGCTCTTGAGCTGCAGGCCGTGGCTTGTTAACGTGCTGTACGATACTGCGGTAAGTGCACTACCACGTAAACGGACCGCTTCACCTGCGCCGCGATAAGCTCAACTCATCGGCCATAATACGTGTTAACTCCAACTGTGTCGCTTGTGGCCGCCTTTCGTGCCTCACGAGGCTAATACCGAGTGGCTTCGTCTGCGGACGTGCCCGGAGGGCGCCGGGTGGTGCGCCGCCCGTGCGGCACACGCCGCTGGTCCGGCACGGTGATCGGTGTCGAGCGAGGCGCTCAACCCGTCGCCTAGTTAATGCGCGTCAGACGATTCAGTGCGGCGCGTGTAGCTTCCGACGCTAACGCGGTCGACTTGAGTGCAGTCAGAAGCGTGTGCTGGTGGGCTGATGTGTGGCTGTCGGCGCGGCGGCCGGCCCGGCTTCCGTCGGCCGGTCGGCGGTGCGTGGCCGGCCGGCCGCCGTGCTGTGACCGACGCCATGCCGTCCGCTGACGCCCGCTGCCCGGCAGGCTGAGGCCCGCGCCGAGTTCGCCGAACGGTCGGTCCAGAAGCTGCAGAAGGAGGTCGACAGACTGGAAGGTGCGTGGGACGGCCGCTGCCGCGCTGCTGCTGCTGCCGGGCACGGGGGTCGGGGTGGGCCTGGGGGACTGTGGGCTGATCGGACCGGCTGTGTCTGTCACACGGTGACAGCCGTCTGGTGGGGTCGGTGGTGGGCCCAACAGGCTCCGCTCCGTGTTCATTCCTGGTCCCGGTACGTATGGTCGCCATGGGCAGGCTCCTGGGTATGTCTGTTTGTGTTGTGGTACGGGTTCACCGACGGGGACCCAACTGGACACCCCGGATTTGTCATGGATTAGATTCATCTGGAGTCCCTGCCGTAGATGTTGGAGTCCCCTCCCTTAGACGTTGGATTCGGGACTAAGGCTGAAAATTCCCACCATGCTGAAGCGGGCTGGGTCCGGTTCCCTTACCAACGACCATTTGTGTGTTACAAGCAGCTCATTCGGATAAACTCCGCGCGGCCACCAGTGCCTACTAGGCCAGGTAATAACGCTCATGTTATTCGTTAACACGCAAACACGCGGTACCCAGACTTGTACCGTACAGCATCCTCCGAATCCCGGGGCACCGTCATTCCTCTGGCCTCTGACCACCTACCGGGGCTGTGGACCGCGTGACGCCTCGCTCGATGGCATGTCTGCGTTTTCTACGTTTTTGGCATGGAATGACTAGACAGAAGAGTTGCTAGTGAATGCCAACCGCGCCCCAGTTTGCACTACCATTGACCAGTTCGTGCTCGTCGTTTTTGCCTGCATGGTTTGGCTGCGAGTGTGTTGTTTTGGCCGTCGGGCCGCGTGCCGTTTTGTTTCGTTTGCCGCCTACCGGTGCGCGCCGCCTGGGTGTGCCCCGCTTCTGACCGCGACCGGGCACGTGCAGACCAGCTGCTCGAGTCGCGCCAGCAGCAGAAACAGCTGGAGGACGAGATGGACACTACCCTGAAGGACATCCAGAACCTGTGAACACCGTCCAGTGCATGTGTGACCGGCGAAGGCGGGCCAGGTGAGCCGCGGGCGGTGCGGGACGGAGCGGTGGCCGTTCCCCGTGTGGCGAGGCATCTCCGCCAGGTCGCACGGCCGCTCAGGAACGGTCGCCGGGCGGGACGTGACGCGCCGGGCCATGGTGTGCGGTGTGGAGCTCAGGTTTGGATGAGGCGTAAGTCAGTCAGCCGGAAGAAGGGCCGATGCAGCCGACTGTAGGCCGTCCAGTGCAGGTATTGTGACTGATTTGCGTTCTGTTGTTTTTGTTTGTTTTTGTTTTTTAGATGCATGTCACAGTACGACTGCCAAGCTGCAAACGTAGGGCCGATTCCTTCCTCACCAATCTTCTCCCATACACAGACACTTAAGTGCGGGTTCGGTGGACGGACGCCGGAGCTGGCCGGAGCTGGGAAGAATGAAGTGTACTTTGTACTAAATGTACTTACTAAATACAACTTGTCTCACATCAGCCAGTTAACGTGGTCCTGGTATAATGACGTGATGAAGAACCCTTGTGTTGAAATCGCTGGGCTATGTTGTATGTGGGGTCTCCTCTGCTTTGCTAACGATGACGGCTTCTCTGCAACGGACGATAACAATGACCATAACAACAAATAACTATCACGCTTCATCTGTGCGCGTTTCTGCTGCAATAACGTCTCTGAAATAACTCCCGGCTGCTGTTAACCGAGCCGTGCTGGCCACTGGAGCTGTTGTAACACCGCCGCCTTAATACCGAAGGGCTGGCTGCTGGCTTTGTCTCGGGTGCATGCCAGGTGACTGAGGGCTGCTCGGGCTGACCGCGGGCCTGCCTTGCAGACGACCTGGTGCACGAGAAGGAGAAGTTCAAGTCCGTCTCGGACGAGCTGGACACGACCTTCTCCGAGATGTCGGCCTACTAAACCGCGTCGCTTGCCATCCGTCCGCGGCTCGCCTGCTGCACTCTGCCTCTCCCTCGCTCTCTCTGTCTATCTGTCTGTCCGTCTTCTCCTCCGTCTGCCGGTCTGTGTGTCCGGCTGTGGGCCCTGCTCGGCGCTGGCCGGGCCGGGCCCGCTGTCCGGGCGCCGGCCCCGCCCGGCCGTGCGGCGGCGGTGAGGACGCGCCCGTAGGTGGCGCCCGTGTGGGGGCGGCCCCGGCCGCGGCCGCTGTCTCCGCTGACCGCTGCCGTGTGCCCGCGCCGCCCGCAGACGAGCTGGTCAACGAGAAGGAGAAGTACAAGGGCATCGCCGACGAGATGGACACCGCCTTCGCCGAGCTGTCCGGCTACTAGAGCGCGCCGCGCGCCGCCGCCGGCGCCGAGCGCGGCCGGCGGGCACGGCCCGGGGTCGGGGCACGCGCCGGCCGCGGCGGGAGCGGGCGGCGCCGGCGCGGGCGGGCCGCCCGCCCCGCTCACACTGACTGATGATGCTGACCCGGCCCGCCCGCCGCCCGCCGTCCGCCCGCCCTGCCGGCCGCCGGCCGCGGACCCCGCCCCCGCGCCTCCCCCTCCCTCCCTCCGGCGCAGCTACCGGCAGCAGTCACACCCTGTGAGCACCAGCGCCGCCGGCCCTTCACTCTTCTGTACGCCGCATGCCCTTTCTGGCAGGTTTTGCTATGTATTTGTTAGGTTGCCCGGAGCAGATGATATATTATTATGTATGGGTTCGAGTGGTGCTGAGGAGCGAGATGTACGTCGCATTTCGGCTAGAACGCGTCGAAGGAAACGGAAGTGAAGCACACTGCAGACTGTACACAGCTGTATGACGTGACAAAAGAATCTAACAATTTTTAAGCCTGACGTGTTTTATTATTCGGAGTGACCAAGCCGAGAAGCGTGAGGGCGTGAGAACTTGGTAAACGTCAGCGGGCTCGAAATTAGGCCGCTGCCCATCCATCAGGGATCGCCGAATCGAAGTCGAAGGTTTTCGTGCGGTACGAGCTGATGAGAAGCGGCGCCCTGATATCAGCGAGGTGGCAACTGGGTCGGTCGGGCTAAGATCGGCAGCTGACTACCGGCAGCTGCCGGCCGTCAGGCGTCTGTCGACCGCTAACCACTGACAACTGCCAGCTGCCAGGCGTCGGTCGACCGCTGACTATTGGCAGCTGCCAGATGTCGGACGACCGCTGACCACTGACTATTGGCAGCTGCCAGGCGTCGGTCGACCGCTGACTATTGGCAGCTGCCAGATGTCGGACGACCGCTGACCACTGACTATTGGCAGCTGCCAGGCGTCGGTCGACCGCTGACTATTGGCAGCTGCCAGATGTCGGACGACCGCTGACCACTGACAGCTGCCAGCTGCCAGGCGTCAGGCGCCGGTGGCCCAGCGTCCTGTTACAAGGCACGCGCGAGAACGGATGTAACTAATTGCGGTTCTGATGTGCTGCCAGGACACGATGGCTAGGTACACATATTCTTGTCTGTGATGCGGTGCTCTACCCGTGGTGGGGATAGCCATCAATAACATCAAATGAGGTCGGTTTTATGGAAGCGGGGGAGCGCGCTGCATTCACATCTGGCGTAGGTTAAAGCTCGACGCGTAAATCTAGCACCGATTCGCGAATGTCATCACCGCGACCTCCGACGTATGCATTCCGGAAGAAACAACTCTTAATCATTACAGCGTCTAGAAAGTCAAAGGTCCCTTTCGAAGATCATTACAACCCGCGCAATGCTTCTCTCGATGTCGTGTGGGCGCCTGAGCAATTCATCTCGGAAAAACGAGAGCCGCGTCGCATTAAGACCGAGAATACACTGAACAGGGAATAGGGATGCTTGCAACCAAGGCGGACCCATAGGTGCACAAAACGCTCGCGAAATGTCCCGCTCCCCGCGCGCCCCCAAAAAAGTGCGTTTCAAGCATTTTATTGAGCTCAAGCCGTGCGTGTACTATCAGAACGTAGGCTTTCAGCCTTTGCGCAGCCGACACCAGCAGAGACTGCGAGGGAGGCTGCACAGCGACACCGGCAGAGGCTGCGGGGAGGTTACACCGCGACACCGGCAGAGGCTGCGGGGGAGGTTACACCACGACACCGGCAGAGGCTGCGGGGGAGGTTACACCGCGGCACCGGCGGAGGCTGCGGGGGAGGTTACACCGCGGCACCGGCGGAGGCCGCGGGGGAGGTTACACTACCCGAGCTCCTAGGGCCGGAGGCCAGCGCTGGCCGATCTCGCGAGGCGAAACAGCTCAAGCCTCCAGGCGGGGCTGTGTGTGGTCGCACTCGTTGGACTCGCTGATCCACACGCAGGTGTTGGCCAGGCGGTCAAACACGGTGCCGCTGGCGCACTCCTCCTGCCGGCACCGGAACGGGCGGCGTCGGACACGGACACCGACAGGCGGGGAACGGGCCGGTGGGGGTGCTGGCCCGCCGCGCCCCTCCACCCGGCGACTCCGCTCCCTCGACGGGGCCGCCGGCTTCGCATGAGCATTGCGGCGTGTGGCAGGTGGTCACGTGATGTCGGTCGGCCCGCCCGTGACTCGGCACCAAAGCCAAGGCGCCATCACGACACATCATCACTGGTCAGTTGTCTACTGCACCGGGGCCCGGGCGCGAACTGCATACGTCGCCCGAAACCGCAAGTGTCGCCAGTGCATGTCGAACTGCAAGTGTCGCCAGTGGATGTCGAACTGCCGTGGTGAGCTGCGTTGGGATGTTCCTCGATCGGACACCAGCCGAGACACCGGCTGTCCGCGAGCGCACGAGTGGCTAGCGCTCACCTGAGTGGCGTCCCAGTGGTCGCCGTCACTGACGCACTCGTAGAAGATGGGCGAGCACATCTTGTCAGGGTCCGGGTTCAGACCATTCCTCTTGCACACGTGGCTGGGGGAGGGTGTCGGCGGCGGCGGGTCGGTCGGCCGGGTGGTCTGTAACAGTCGCCGACAGCTGTCAGAGTTGCGGTTTTATGTCAAGTGTTCTGAAAACAGTAAACTTGTTCTCAACGAGCCTGGAGCCCAAAGTTATGCTCTGCTGAATTAAACAAGCTGGTTTTCAAAAACTTTAAGTGATCCTCACAGTCATATGCTTCTTCCTGTTCGCAACATTTGCTCGGAACTGAAAGATCGCATCGCTTGGCAACGTACGAGCAACTTTATTTGCAACAACAGTAGATAGGTATTAATGCCGCTACTGACAGAGCATAGTCCCGCGTCACTAAAACCCGTATGAATAGATGCCTGTCTTAGAGCATTTCAAGCAGTGTGCGTGAAACTCTGTAAAACTGCTCGTTCTCATGGCTTATAACTTAGCAAAGAGCCATCCCGAGTACAACGCATAGGTAGTTGAGAGACGCGTTCGTCAGGAACTCGGCGAGAAAAAATGTAAGAGGTTCATGGATACGAAAGGATGATATTCAAATCGCAAATTTGAGAGTCGGAACATTGTTAACGCGTGGTCGACAGGGTTTGCCATCGTCCAGGTTACAACAGTTGGGGACCAGCGCCTTCCGCTCCTTTCTTATGGATTCGCACACAATCCGGAAGGGCACAGCGGCAATGTCAAACACCCCGGAGGAGACACAGTCCAAGCGATGGCAGAAAGTGGGGAAAAAGCACCTGGAAAAAAAAAACATCAGGCAGTGGTACACAAGACGGCAGTGGACACCGTATGAGTCTGTGGACCCGAAGGCAGCAGACACCATTAGAGCTGTGGATCCGGTGGAGGTGAAAACCGTCGGAGTGCTGGGCTCGGCCTCGACTTACCCGCAACCTTGCCGCCGGTCCGTGTGCAGTCCCTCCCCCCCCCCCCCTTCCCGCAGCCATCTCTCCGGTCCGGCCGCAGCCGCTGCGGCAGCCCTCTCACCGGTCCGGTGGTGGGCGTGGGTCCGGTTGGATGCGGGATGTCGCCGTTCAGGTTCGTCCAGATGGCTGTCATCAGCGGATTAGGCGCGCCGAAGCCGCACAGGTTATGGAAGTCGTCCGTCTCGATGGACCACACCATGCTGCCACCCAGGCCCATCGACTTGATGTAGTCGGTCTGGTTGGCAGACATGCCCGGTCAGTTGACCATTGGAATGGGGGCGATGGTGTTGCTGATGAGTGCGATGGCCGTGCTGATAAGTGTAATGGTGGTACTGATGAGTACGGTGGTGGTGCTAATGACTGCGATGGCGATGCTGATTAGTGTACTATCGGGGCTGATGAAGGTGATGGTGGTGCTGATGAGTGCGATGGTGGTGCTGGTAGGTGTGGTGATGGTGCTGATGAAGGTGATGGTGGTGCTGATGAGCACAATGGCTGCGCTGGTAAGTGTAATGGTGGTGGTGATAATGGTGATGGTGGCGCTGATAAGGGCGATGGTGGCGCCGACGAGTGTGATGGTGGTGTTGATGGGTGTGATGGTGGTCCTGATAAGTGTGATGATGGTGCTGATGAGTGTGATGATAGTGCTGATGCATGTGATGGCGGTGTTGATGAGTGTGATGATAGTGCTGATAAGTGTGATGGTCTTGCTGATGAGTGTGATGCTGCTGTTGAGTGTCACGGTGGCACTGATGAGTGCCACCATGGTGATGAGACGAGATGGTGCTGAAGAGTGCGATGGTGGTTCCGATAAGTGTAATGGCAGTGCTGAGTGTGACGCTGATGAGGTTGATGGTTGTGCTGATGAGTGTAATGATGATGCTGATGGGGATGATGGTGGTGCTGATGAGGGTGATGGTGATGGTGATGACGGTGATGCCGATGCTGATGAGGGTGATGTGGTACTGATGAGGTGGCGTGCCTCTCACAGCTGGCCAAACCACAGTGGCTTAAATCAAATGGTCCGAGACCTGTTGCGTATTTCAGCCGCTTGCACCGTCCACACGTGCTGCAGTGCAAAAACCCATCTCACAGCATGGACACTAAATCACATGAATGGGGTTTAGCAATGATGTCATCAATAACGAAGGAAATGACCAACCAGCCAAAAGTGCCTGACTTAAGCAACGTTGTGCAGTGGAGAAATACGAATTTGAAAGAAGACATTATCAACGAGGAAAAGGAATCGGGTTTGTATGAGATCACTGTACAACATAAGACACATCTGACCCTTTCCCGACCTATAAAAAAAACACTGACTGCTGGGCCGGGGACGACATCGTTTGAACGTGCTCAGCGTTGCGAAATTGATCACAATCGCTCACAAAACTCCCCCCCCCCCCGCCACGTGCGGTACCATCGCTCACCTTCAGCTTCATGCTTTCCAAGTCATCGTAGCCCACCCAGATGCTGCCCTTGTAGCTGTAGATGGCCTTCTGGTCGGGATCCCGGACGTTAGTCCAGCCGCCCTGCTCCAGCAGCTTGCAGATCTGAGGGCAGCAGGGCGCCAGTCGGCTGGGTCTCCGGCGGCACAGTGCGGGGGTGGGACCCGGCACCGGGCCAGTAAGGCAACGTCGTCCGGACAGGCGAGGTAGCGGTGTAAGTTGGATCTTTTGACACGGGATTCAGCCTCCCCTCTCCTACCAACTTGGCCGTCGAGCCCCACCCCGCTTCGCAGGCGGACGGGTGACTTTATCCAGGCGTGAGATCCAAGTGGCAAACTCGGCGTCAGCCGCAGAGCTCCCGGCATCAGCGACAGAGCCGCATGGACGAGGACAGATCGTCTACACCGATCGCCGCCCCGCGAAAACACGATCAGTGCTGTGCAAGAGTGCACCGCTGACACCGCCATCTGCCGGGCTTGGCACCGGCCGCCGCGCCATCGCCGCCACCGGGCTCCGGCGGGCCTGCCCGACCACGGGCCCGTGCTGACCGCCGGCCCGCCGGCGGAACCCTCGGCCTCCGCTGCGCGCTTCCGGTAACCCAGGGACATGGG